GTTGACAAGCATGCAAATCGAATTTATTTATACATCATAGAAACGTCCTTGGGAGAGCCACAAAAATAGTGGCAAATGAGATCTCAAGGTCAACTGACCAGCCCATGCGCTGAAGCATAAAATCCAAAACTAGGACCTTTATAAAGTGAGTTCTGAGGATCTAACGTCCCCAATAAGTATTTGTTATATAGGGGCTAATATACTAATAAATACTCAATGGGGTTACGATTACTGGCCAGTAAAATGTAATCAGTATAATATTACTTACCATTAAACATTACGTTCTTCAAAGGAACACTAATCTATGCGACCTAATATCAGAATTTTATGAAATGAATCAGACTACCAGATATAGATAAGTTGTGTCTGTTCAAGGCTCTCAAAGATCTGTTAAATACCAGTGTAAAGTATGTAATTTATTTAGTGTTATATTTATTTGTAGTGATTTTTTTAACGGTCGAATTGTTGAATGTCAGTCTGTCATGATAATCTGTCAAAAGGTTGTAGTTTGATATCCGAAATTTAGTCCATCGAACCAAAACACTCGTTAAAATGGTCCAATAAATGTTGGTTGCGTAATTGGTCAATATTAATAATCAGTTTCACTCAAGGAACATTGTAGACAAATGTAATTATTACACATCGAGAAAATGTGAATTAAACAGTTCACTCGACACCGTATACCACATACGTTGCGTAATCATATTGTATAGTATGTTAAACAATGAACATCTTGACGACAACACTACTATTTACACAATACAAGTACTCAGTTGTCAACTGACATCAAGAAGATTTCTCCCACAAATTATTAACAATCGATTAATTTTAGTACTTTGTAATCGTCCATCGAAAATGTTAGAGTGATTCAATATTTGAGTTTTTTTTGCTCATGTATACTTGATGATTTACTTCGATAATCAACCAATTTTAACTAAAACTTTCGTATACAAACCGGCCACTGTAAAACTTAACGGCTATAGACTGAATATGATGTTAATTAAATCTAAATGAGCTAAATTTTTTGTGTAAACTTGAGGAAATCATCGAATACGGTGTAGTATATCTACCATGGATATTGATTAATCTATTAATCTTTGCACAGAAATTAATCTCACAAAAGTTTTTGATATGCATATTTGTAGTGGTGAACAACACTTGTTCGAATGTAAAATAGCTGTGGGTATATTTCAACGGAGTTTGCCACCGAAGACGAAACTTATGTTAGATGTCTATTTCTAATTCATTCTAATGAATTCAACAATCGTTTAGTCTCATGGGATTAACCTTGACATCAAGTTCACATATTCAAAGTAGTCAATTAACTGAAGTTAGTGTCACATTTTATTTATCGATTTCATTCAAAAGCTGAACAATATCGTGCTTTATCCCAGTATTTATATTTTAAGTTGTGTACTTGTAAACTCAATGCTGTCATTTCGGACATTATTAACCTCGAGTTTCCTAACAGTAAGAGAACTCTTGGCACGAACTTTCCAGTTAACAGCTGATTGATAATAAAATGTTTTTATCAGTGATGCTAGTCAATGTAGGCTGTCTCGTGTGAGATGTACGAAATAGTGTTGTTTTGTATCTGAGTCAATAGAACACACTGAAAACTTTATTGTATGCTCTAATTGGAAACATGTTCATAATAATAAGGAATTAGTCAGTCAGTCAGTTACAACGTAGAACTTCGTACGTAAGTACATCAGTTCAGGTTGCTATACCACATTAGTACAGAGACGTAACTGTCAGTTCAAATCCAAGAGTGATAGCGATAGTAGAATTATTAGCAGCAATGGAGAAGATTAGGGAGCGAAGATATGATTCAAGAAGTATGATTCAGTAAGATAAGTTTAGAAAGACAAAGGTAGAGGTGATGACGAGTTCAGAAGATTATAATTTCATAGAACACAACGACTGGATTCACTTGCGCTATTGCAAACGATTTTCAGCCATGCATTTCAAGGTCTATAACCATCGATTGCTATCATCTCACGGACTCCAACCAGGTAGTCTGCATCTACCAACATGAGTCAGTCCATTTGTCAGTCACTTCATGGTTTTCTGCCACATTTTGGTTTGTCTGCCCCTAGCTTTCTTCCAATCTACTCCTACACTGCAAAACATAGCTTGTCGCGGCAGTCAGTGGATGGGCATTCGTAACTCATGTCCCAACCACCTCAACTGATGAAGTTTCAATACTGCATCTATTGATTTGATATCCTTACCTAGTACTTGTTTTTTAACGACACCATTGCTTACTCGATTGGCTCAGGATACACGAGCAATGCTTCTAAGACATCTATGATCGAATACCAGTAACCTACGAATATCTACTCTAACTGGCCTCAATAAGGAATTAAGCGTGAAATAGATCGTAATTATGATGATATATGGATCATTCTGGATCCTAAATGCAAGATTCTCGAGAAAGCTCATTAATCTACATAACAGATAAAGATTGACTATTTGGAAAATGAATGGAGAAACTTCTATATTTTTAAATAGTCGGTACACAGAATCCCCTACCTAGTTACAACAAAATCCATTAGAATTGAGAGTAAAACTACATTGAATAAGTATTGTTATTTCCAAAGACAGCAAACACATCACACTATAGAAATTTGATACTAAGCGAATATATTGATTTGTTTTTTGTGACGATCTGTTTGAATGACAGAAATTATTGTAAGATCAACGTATTCGGATTTATGCAGAAAAACAGTATGGTTTGCGATCATAATGCACTCTTAACCAATTATTTTCTAGGGTATATCCAAACCAGTGGGATTCAATTAAAGCACTTTTCGTTTACTCAGCCTATATTGGTGTGTGAGTAGATGAGCTGTGATAGTATGTAAGTGGTCGATACTCCAATTCCATTTTTACGAGCCAGATATCTAAAACTGGTATGGTAAACACAGGACATACATATGAATAAATGCACTGTTTATAGACAGACATGTTACAAATGAAGGGAGGAGCAAGAGCGTGGGAAAGACATGGAGGGTAAGGCATGTAATAAATTCTTTACGTCTAACACCCACCAAATACTGTATGCAGACAAGTTCTCGAAATGTATATTTGCGCGTTTTTTTAGCGGGTCACCGAACAATAGGTACAAGAGTACGAGTTTAGTGTTTATACAAAACCCTTACTAGCTCTCGGAGTAAACACAATATCGATTTTTAGGTGTAAAAATTGACCAATCACATAAGAGTGAGAAATATTTTAAATTTATATTGATTACGGATAGATCAGTAGTACAATACAGCACATACTTTAACTCGATCTATTGCTTTATAAGAACTACATACTATGTTGTTAGTAGAAGTAGCGTAGGCGATAATCAGTTTAATTAGCTGACAGAAATATATTTCTGAAAAGAATCAGATGCAAAATCATGAAACTGTTGTACCATAAGTAGGTACTGCTATTTTCTAATAAGTATTCTATGAATGAGAAAAAAATATGACTTTCGGGAACACCAAGAACGTAAATTGAATATCCGCTGCGAGCTTGTTTAGAAATAATGAAATGTGAGAAGCACTTGATGATAATATGTTTCATCAATTCACTTACGTCCCCTTTTTTCATGATGTTTTATCAAATTCAATAAACGCCTTGGTGCAAACACTAGGTATTTATTGAAGTGCCTAAATGTTGCACAACGTCCTTTGTGTCAGAATTTTAAGTAGTAGTTTTTGGTATTTCATACAAAATATCCTTACTTACATTCCATCGATCACAACCCACTAGGATGAAAGAATTAGTACTAAATTATTAGGAATTAAAAAAGGTTAGCAAATGTATAGGAATCCGGTCATTAGGTTAAAAGTTACATCAATTTATTGAAGAAAAGATTTATAATTCCTTACTACTCTAGAAGTATGGTATGAGGCCGAATTCGATCAAAGATCGGCGAGTGATTGTAAACCAAGAGGCAAATCAATAAGACACATTTCCACTTGAAATGTTTATTTATCATGTATTTTCTTTTTTGATTTTAACATGAGCAGATCAAGATTGTAAAAAAGTCCAGTCAGACCAGTAAATAAACGTAGAGAACTTAAAGAATATGAAAACGTATAATAGTTCCAGTTGACGAGTGAGTACCATTTTTACTACGTAATATAACTAATGTACACCTAAAACAATTATGACTCAAGTGTTTGTGACAACTAAAACTACTGTACTCAAAAAATAAGTGATGTTACAATCACAATAAGGAGTTAGAGAAGCGGTTAACTCAGTTAAGAATTTCATTGAAATATATTGCAAAAACAAATAACAAAATTCTGACTAGGTAAGGTCAATGCCAACCATAACAAACACCATTCAATATAGTTCATTAATTTAGTACAAATAATTCAGGAACTACTGTATATCAAAATGGTTAGTTATTCATCCTTACCGCGTCGTTACAAATGAACTCATCAGTCAGTTACAATGATAATTAATCAGATAAATGTAAAGTTTGTTAATAAACTCGAAAGTTTTTCTTGAAACGAAAAACAACAATTCGAACTACAAGTGAAATCTAACCAGTTCAAATTTTGTCTTAAGACTCAATGGGAAATCATTACCAGAACACTACAATTGTCTTCAGATATATACTAATGAAATCAACTAACACAATTTGAATTGTGTAAAAAGTTATATTTTTTATACAATGATAAATTTTGCTTTTCATTTATCACAAACACATAAGATTTTTATCGATCAACCAGTGATGCATAATATAAAGCCATCATAAAGGTAAATGATTGTCTCGAAACTAATAATAATTTATACAAAACATGAAAGTAGAAAATGAGTAAACTTTGTGAAAAATAATTCTAAAAAGAAAAATATCAAGCAAACAAAACAAAGAACAATAGAAAAGTAAAAAAACAAAACAAAATGGATTTTCTTCAATAATAACTGTCTATATTGATAGAAGAGAAAAACGGTGATATGACGAGATTTTTCTGAAAAGCAACAATAACTGGCTTTCAGGAATTTATACTAGTACATATATGATGTGATTGTGAACATATGTCGGGTTGTTCATGCTGCTCAGATACCAGAATGCATAGTTTGTCCTGAGATTCACTTTCATCTTGTTCGACAGTAAGTTCAGAAGCATTATTAGCATCACTATTATTAGTTGTATTGTGACATGGTATTTGTAGTTGTTCATCATTCGTATTGTTCTGTTTATTGATTTGATCAAGATAATCTAGACATTCAGCCGAACTTAGTTTCACTGTAAGATTTGTACGTGGATCACAACCAGGATGTGTCAGTTCAATGTGTCGAACAAGATGGTCTTTACGGTAATAAGATTTATCGCATATCTTACATACAAAAGGTTTAAAGCCAACATGACGAAGGGAATGACGCTGAAGATTGGATCGTTGAGTAAATTGAGCACCGCATATAGTACACCTAAATGCTTTATGCACTGCGAAGGTATGTTCACATAATAAGCTTAATGATGGGAACGGTTTCCGACACTGATTGCATATAAATGATTTGGCATATCGACGATTCAGGACACTTGAATCTTCTGAAGAGTTTATGGATTCTTTAGTAGGATTCTTAGAGGGAGAATTAGATGATACTGTATGCTTTATTTGAGGTGAAATAACTGTCTGTATATTATAATTATTAACAGGACGGGCAATCGGTTGTTTATCAATACAAATCCGAGGTAAAATAGGGCGATGGACAGTTGATAGTACTGTTACAGGTAGGGAGAAAACACTTACGTGAGGAAGAAGTGTAACTGCCGAAACAGGTAAAAACAAACCGTTTGTTGGCCCACCTTTCATTGGTGCGACAAGTTCAGTTACTGGTTTTGAGATTTGTTGACTTGAAACGGAAGTTGGTGATGCAGCAGTTGTAGCAGGTAAAGATTCATTGGAATCAGCAACAACAAGAGAGTTTTGAGGTATTTTGCATGGTCGACTTAACTTTCGTTTACGACGTGAGACAGAAAAGTTATACTTCTTTATAACGTCATCAGTTTTAATTGGTGAAATCGGTTCTGTAGATGTATCCATAATTCCTGAATCTGATAAATCTTGATCAGGAGTGCCATTTTCAGAAGAATGATCACTAGTTTTCTGATACGTTTGGTTAACAAGTAAACATTTCATCTTTTCTTGATCAGCTTGATAAACTACAAGAGCTTGTAGTTTTAGTGACTTTGAAAATGGAGGGAGAACACGTTCAATCAAAAGTTTCGTAAGCTTTTTTTCTTCAGCAGTAGGTTCGCGTTTATGAACACAAGCTGGTGTATCTTTTTGGGTTACTGAATGATATGCACTTTCGTCTGACGAATTCATTCTATGACTGTTTGGAGTTTCCATCTACAGGGGATAAATTAAATGTTTTGTAAATAATTACTGACGATATTATTCATGTAGCGCTATGACTAAAAGTGAGCGTTATCAAATGTGAATGTGTGCTGTTTCGTAGCCATAAATCTCATTACGGAAAATTTATAAACATAAAATCTGAGAATAAGTGCTTTTCGAAACTACAAAACTAAGTAATAATCTAATTCGCAACCTCCCTAAAAATGTGTACTAGGACACTTCCAGAGAACTCGTAAGTATTTACTGAAGATAAAATGAAGACGCCTTAGTTTCACGTTTCACGTGTTTATATAAGTCTTCTAGATAGAAAAATTGAAGATAATCTAGGATCGGTAGGGTACATGAAAGGACTGATTATGATTAAAGATTATTTGCTACCACACCATTTTAATTCATCGAATTCTGTGATAAAATATTCTGAAGTACATAAGCACGAAAATTAATTCTTCTTCAGGTTTTTTAGTTTCCGACTACTGATATTCAGGACTGAAATTTGGTAAATCTATATTGGAATATGTATATCCAGAAATAACTTGTAGTCACAAGTTTTCAGAACATACTTGAGTTGTCTGGTAATGAAATCTAGTATGGAACTTAACAAGTGAATGTACACTATTACAATGTTGATCTCCGAACTGAGCTTTTAACACAACACACTTCCGCTTCAAACACCAATACATTTTGAGCTAGATTAATGGGTTTAAATAGTCACCAACTTATCTAACAGATGAGAGATTGTTATTTATTTACGTTTTGTTTCCTTGCTATTAACATTGAGGGCTGGACTTTGGTCGAACTCTAGTTATTCAAATCAGTTTTTAGTAAAAAAACATCTAATATTTACAGATTAGGTAAAACTAGAAGCAATATATGAGGCTGCTGTTTTAGATTAAGATTGTCTATTTTCATCAAAAGACGAACAGTATTCTTTCTGATTATCATCTCACAATATACTCACAGGAAAGATCTGTTTGCAACTGGATCTAGAGATTTGCCTTTTTACTTTGAGGAGTAATCAAAGTATTGTAACTATTGTGGAATAAATTTGTGATTAATTAACGTTTGCAATTCTAAAAACCTTATTGTTCAGCAGATATTTGGAATAGAAATTATTGTATTGAGTCCTTGTATCAAGTGGTGAAACAACTACAAACATTATAAATGAATATATTACATTATAACAGTGTTATCACAACTCATAAGTAGTCAGTTACTAAGCATTTGCTTCATACCTCAAAAGTTAACGAGGTACTTTTATGATTGAACAGTATGGTGCCAAAAAGTTTCAACTAACCACTATACATTTCAATGTTGTGAGTCACAAACTCTCTAAGATAGATCAATCAAAAAAAGGAAGCAATCAAACTACTTTTTCAAGTTTTATTTTTTCCAATGATTCCTTGTTATTAATGATGGCTAGGAGAGTTGACATGATGTACGTACATTAACGTGCCCTTAAATGAATTTATGTGAGTTATCTACACCTTCAAAATGAACAATTAACACGTATGTATGTACATACGTATGACGGAATTCAACTAATTTCTGCGCTAGACCTAAAAAAATTCACGCATAACCAATTCTGGACACCAAGACATCACTAAAGTGAGAGTGAATAACAGTGAATAAACTATTTTGTTTTTATGCAATAAAGGATTTCATTCCTTAGTAAAATTGAAATAATGTTTTGACAAATCAGAGGCGAAAAACACAAAACCAAATAATGTATCCATCTTAGAACTAAAACTGTGAGAACAACTAAGGCTAGTCTAAATGCACCATTGTTTCGAACAAATCGAAGTCTCCCTAAGTAACTGACCCTTGGTATATATAAATAACATCCAATGAGTTGCTTCTGTAAATTCAGTAATCAATAACGCCAACAATGTGCGTATTCACGGTAATGGAGGATGTCAAAGACTTGTATTGCGAAAATTAGAACGACATATGTAAGCGAATGATATTGTTTCTACTTAGATCATCATCAGGCCTCACTATGACACCCATGAGCGTTTAAATGGGTATATGCAAGCAGTGAACCAATCAAATCAATTTATTAGACAATGGTCACAAGGAAACATAAATATATGTGTATTGAAGTAAAGACTGATGGTGATGTAATTGAAAATATTATCCCTTTGTATACGATATCCTAATAACAAGACGTCACCTTGGAAGGATAGCATAGTAAATTTTTAACGACAATTTCGTTGACTGAAATGCTGAAAGGTACACATTCATGAAGGAATCGATATTGAATTCAATACACCAATCATCTTAAAATGTCCGAACATGATTCCATAATTTTGTATTGAAAAACTGAATCGTATGAACGTAACGAACGATAACGTACAGGGTTTATTTAATTAGCTGGTAGATGGGTTCCTCATAAAATAGTAAAAACTACATGTAATCCTTTCTTATAAATTACTAGTATAACTGAGATCAATAATAACCTAGTGAATTTAACAGGTAGTGAAGAATAAATTAAATTTGCTCAAAAAATCTGTTTTACGTACAATGATGTGTTATATAACGAAAGATGACTTACTCCAGTCAAACTATACGTCCAAAACTTGACGTTGTTCAGGGGATAATGCTAAAAATGAAGCTATATCCACTAATCAATAATTAAATCTCTGTAACGTGAAGTAGCTGGCTATCTCTAAAATAGGACCAAGCACGAACTAAGCACCATCTATAAGAGGGATGGAAATATGTCTGATCGATACATACCACAGCTCTTAAGTCTGTGCCTACGCAGGGTTATATCGATTATTCCATTTTTCTAAAAAGACACAATGAGATTGGGCGCATGCATTTTGTTATGTCCAATCACAAAAAACGCAAAGCAAGCCTAGCCCTGAGGTCAATTTTTTACTGTGTGCTTATTGGTGGGATGGTCAGGCGGGATGTTAAGCTGCGCCAATCATAACTTTTGGCTGTCTGTGCTTAGTTATGTGGTTTTTTAGTCAATCAATCAATCTGTGTTACTACACTCCTTAAACTCAGTCCTTTTTAGTCTGGGTTCGACCATTGTTATCCTCTTGTCTCTTGTTATTGATTTGCATAATCAGATTATGACGCAACCCTGCAAATTCACCATAATTAACAAATCACATTTTCACTTAGTTTCTGTCTCCGCTTACAAATATTAACTGATTTTCAGCCTTTAATCTTTGCTTTAAGGGACTCGTTCCATGCTCAGAAAAAATTCCATTGATAACTATTGCACTATATTGAAAACTGGGTACAGTTGGGAGTGGAGGTCGTTAAATTCCAACACAGTGAGTTGGTGTTTTACTCATGAGATCTAAAGGTCCTGAGTTCGATCTCATAATGGGATCGTGAGTGCTCACTACCAGAGAATCCAAACTTGAAGAAAACAACTTAGTCGCACCGTGTTTGCAGTAGTCCCCTAACTGGTCCCAGTCCTTGTCATAAACCAACATTCCCCATATAGGTTCTTTCCGAGCTGAGTAATTCTGGTGAACAAGCGGACACAAAAAGTAAAATAATATTATTTCCTCTCATCGACCCGGGAAAGAAGTAACCAAACGATGAACACTGAATTCACCAACATTATTTACCTTACCAATTTATGACAAACTAGGAATGTCAGCATCTATTAACAAAGTGAATCAGAAAACTTAAAAGAGCTGGAAGACTGGTAAGCTTCATGACGAAGATATTTTGAATATTTGTTCGATCAAGTCAGACGTCGAGAAATGACAGAAGAAATCAGAGACAAATTTAGTTGATAAGATAGCAATCGTCAAGAACAAAATGGAATAGAAATTAAAGTACTTATGGGTGGCTTGGTTACATAACTTACCTCGAAAACTAAAAAAACTAATTATGCGATTTGCTTCCTCAAAACTCATGATCATTTTCCCGCGACTGTTAGTCTCAGTTATCATGAACTTACTAATTCTCTCTAAAATTCCCATTAGGATGATTATATCTGGAGCCAGAAATATTCGCCACCGTTTCAGTCTTTTTCAATGATAAGTGAAGTAAAATTTCTTTGGCGTATGCAAAATTTCAAGTGTAGGAGTTAAATGCTAAATTTGATGTTCACAATTGAGGAGAAGAAGCAAAGTTTGATTCGTATGAAATTTGCCATGAATTCAACTTATGAACAAGTCAACTGATAACTTTTTAAAAGTAATCATTATTCTTTAGAACAATTTATGAACTTTTCTATCTAATGGAAACTACTGAATTTGGTAGTATCTGTAAATGATTCTAAAGTTGATAGAGAAAGCAAGAAATACTAAAAGAAAACCTGTTTATTTGAAGTACGTTCATAACTAAAAACGCGGGTGAATTAGATTAAAGCAATCAATAAAAAAACATCAGTATTTGTCATCATACTTTCGCTGTATGAACTGTAAAATAATGAAATGAATCACTTATGGCAAAACCAATGCGGACAGAAAATAGGGAACATAATGTAAGTCCCTGCACAGATTAACAGATGCTTCAACATGTTAGTTCGGGTTCATATATTACTCTATTAAATTTCCTGATGTTTTAGAGCCAGTACAAAATTTATTTTCTACAAGTTGGAAGGATACAACAACAGACGAAAGATTGCTTATAGTATACGAAGTCCGTAGTGTATTATCACATTGTATCTCCTCCAGGAGTGTCTCCTTCAGTAAGTGTTTGGTACAACCTCAGACATCTTGATACTCTTCTACCGTTAAGGCCTTGTTCTGACATCCTCAATATATGGCCGTTTATTCTAGGAGGCTATAACAATTATTATATGTCTCTCTGAACATCATATACCCAATATGAGTAATCAGTATATGACAAGAACGGGAGACTTGCTACTCTATGTTTGGATGATGACCCAATACTAACTTCCCCAATCAAAGCCAAAGAACAAAGACCAATGATCACCAGTTCAACATTGATTACTTTATTTCAGTCATTCGTTGAAATACACACAAAATCAGACCACATCATACCAATAAGTGTAAGTTAAGGACATTACATAAACGAGGAAAAGTGACTATGAGTAGGAGAGATTGTAAATAATAAATTGTCAAGAGAAAGTAACAGTAAATCGTATGATAATAATCTATGGGTTAATAGAAAGCTAATGATGAAAGTATTATATAAACTTGATAGTCTAGTTAATTAATAATTATACGATTAAATTATTATATTAATAGTCCGAAAATGGATTACCTAAGTTACTAGTTTTTCCAGTCTTTATCTTGACATAACAATTACTTGAGAGATTCTGGCTTGATCTAGAAGGATCTCCATTGTTCTTGAGGACACACTGCAATCTTCACAGTAAGAATAATATAACATTGAAGGACATTATCCATTTTTTTGTCTTTCCGGTCACGTCATATCATCTTCTCGATGAAGTGAAATGTGTTCTAGTTTTTCCATCAATTGTTTCGATAACTTGAATGATTAGATGGTGAAATAATTGTATTATCGTTTATAACAATATTATTAAATGGTAAACAGATTCTTGCCAAAAATTTTTTTATCCTAAACATGTGATGAAGTCGAAATCAGCTAATCCTCATGCAAACATTTACGGTTCAATTTTCAACAAAACAAATGTCCATTTAATTTAATTTTGATATGTTTCTAGTTGTTTGAAACAGTTGGCACTGTAGGAAACAAATACAAAACGGAATGATTTAATTTTAGCGCCATATATTGAATAAATTAATTATCTACAATTACAATTAATTTTTATTTTAAATTCAACATAAACATGTAACTTGCCAAATAAGTTTATGAAGAACAGGTTTTTTTACTCTACCTGTGTAAAGGCTAATTCCACTACTCCTTATCCAAACTGAATAAGCTACTTAGGGGTCTGAACCTTCGACCAAATGGTTGAAAAATGAATACCCTGACCATTTGTAAACTGTTCACAGTCATAAGACTTAGACAACTTCATTATGACTATATTGCATAAAATAAAAACTTTGTCTAACATTTCCCAGTGTGATCAAGTAAAGACAATCTTATTTTTTTAGATTTAGAACGAAACACTTCATTTGGAGTTAGATGCAGCTAGGATAGAAAACAATTGATTTTTACTGCTTCTGTACAAGCTATTTATAAGCAAGGTTGAATTATACCAATAATCAAATTATCTTGTCATTTCGTTTAAATTATTAGCAAGGAAAAAAGTCGACTAAACCTTGTAAAGCCAGGGGAAATTTTCTTTTAAGATCATAATTAACATGTTTACACAGATTACATACTGTTGTCTATCAGCAACTTTCGGTGTAGTTATTTCCGCTGCTTACATGATATCCTTCTTGTGATATCTCACTAAGACTTGACCATGTCATAGAATTGTAGCTTTTTATAAAATACTGTTCTGGCGACTAGCTTTACTGTAGAACATTCTATACGTACTTCAGTGGAACCTTTGTTTCACTAGAGTTGATGTAACGAAATTTGTCCTTTTTTAATAATAAAACGTAAAATAAAGCCTCTAAAAATGTATTACCATTTATAAGAGTGAAAAAGATATTTGTTGGCAATTATTATACACTTAAAAAGTAATAGTTGCACATCTTTCTAGTTACAACCATCCTTTTGACTAGTTAAACAATCTGATTTTTGGAATCATTCGGTACATCGAGGTTCCTCTAAAAAAATTCTCTGATATTCATCAATTATAAAACGAAAAAGTTTGGTTGCACCAAAAAATAACAAATAAATTACATTTTTGCAATCAAAGATGAATTTGTAATAGTTTTACCTAGTTCACGTGATTCATTCAAATTATCCATGTTGTTATTCTTAAAGAAATAGTAACGGTATGTGATAGAGTCATATACTTTAGTACCTTCACTAGAATGATTTATGAAGGATGATATTTTTTAGTTTATTATAAGAATCATTGTGGTGTTTGAATGAACTAGTGACTTCTTGTTGTTGTTGAATGCTTGATTTCGAATTCTAAATACAATACATTCGTTTGTACTCATTCCATAGTTCTTGATTCACATACTTCTAATCATCATACTGGCGTCGCGATGGAGCTTGTAATGGAACAGTTAGATATTCATTCTACTTCTGAAGCTTTTGAAGATTATTTGGAAAGGTTTGAAATCTGGAGTATGATCAGGAAAGATGTCAAAGATGATAAAATTGTGGCTCATTTCCTAACATTCATCGGAAAAGAAGAGTACAGCTTATTAAAAACTTTGGCATATCCAGAAAAACCTATTTCACTTCCCTATGCAATGCTTAAGGAGTTATTATTGAATCATGTAAAGTGCCCTGGTTTTGAATGCCGTGAAAGAGCGAAATTTCATAAGATGATTCGTCAAAATGACCAAAATGTTAAGGAATTCATTCTTGAATTGCAGAAACAAGCTGTCAAATGTAATTTCGGTGATCAACTTCATGTGCAGCTGAGAGACCGATTAATTGCAGGAATTAACATACCTAGTTTGGAAAGAGAGCTGTTAAGAATGTCAAACTGTTCCTTTCAAGATGTTAGAACTGCGTGCATTAACTACGAGGCGTTGAATGAACTTGATATTCAGTCGATGAAGATTTCCAATACTTTGATTAGTTGTCATGATGAAAAACAATCTCAGGGTCAATCAAAACTGTGTTCGTTTAACAGAGGTTCCTATTCTCGTGTAAATATGATTGGTGTTTCAATAAAGAATTACAAAGGAAATCACAAAGGTGAGACCAAGTTTGGCAAATGTTTATCATGTGGAAAACTTCATTCTCATATTTCATGTCCATTTCGCAATGCTAAATGTTTTAGATGTGGTAAGATAGGACACATTCAACTAGTATGCAAAGCTACTGTTCATTTTGCCTCAAGTAGTACTAAATCTTGTAATTTAGATCCCAATAATTCAGCTAATCCTAATGATCATTTATCTTTAACTACCATTTCGAAAGGTAATGCTCATATTCAAAAGCGATTATATACATTACTTGGTTCATTTCATGACTTTATTGTGGACACAGGCAGTATAGAGTCCATTATTTCATTCAAGAACTTGAAATCGTTAGATCCTAACGTTGTGGTACGACCCACTGAAGTATCAATATTGGGGATTACTGGACACAGACTGCCTATACGAGGATGTTGTGAATTGCTAATAAGAGATGATAATTCCTCATACATACCTTGTGAATTCTTAGTTAGCGAAACAGGACTGTCAGTACTGGGTTTAAAGAATTTGAAAAGGCTTAAAGTGGAGTTGTCTTTCCTAGTTTCTAAAGAAAATTCTGATGCTTTACTTGAAGATTTGATAGCTACGTGTGCTAAGTGCAGTGGATGTATGAAAACGGTTCAGCACAGGAGTGCCAAACGAATTCAACATGTTGACTACATTTCTTGACAGTCATTACAAGATAAACCTGTTAATACTTCAGACTGTTTGTTGGTGCAACCTTTACCAGTGAAACGTCCAAATCTCATTAGAGAAACTCGTAGAAACTTTGGATGTATAATTAATGCTATACGGAATGGTTGGAATGCTAATCTGAAACGCAGATTCCCTATCTATTTTTCAAAGCGGGATGAGCTATCCACTACTTCTGATGGTATTTTGTGTTTAAATGATCGGGTTGTTATTCCTCCTTCATTGCGTAAAGCTGTCCTGGAAGATCTTCATAGTGGACATTTAGGTGTTGAGAAAATGTAGTCCTTGGCGAGGCTCACGTGTTGGTGGCCAGAGATAAATGCAGATATTTGTCGTACAGCAAACAATTGTGTAAAGTGTCATAAGCTGAAAAATCAGCATTTGAAGTGGACTCCATGGCCAGTATCATCTGAGGCCTGGCAGAGAATTCACGCAGACTATTGTGGCCCGTTTCTTGGCAAATACTATGCACTTGTAGTCATTGATTCTTTTTCAAAGTGGCCTGAAGTTTTTTTCACAACTTCACCAAATTCTGACTTCACAATTCAAGCATTAAGAAAGGTGTTTAGTCGAGAAGGGGTTCCAATGGTGTTAGTGACTGATAACGGCACTCATTTTGCTGCAGATGCAGTTACTACCTGGTTAAATGGTATAGGGTGCAAACATCTGTTTACTGCTCCCAGACATCCTTGTTCCAATGGTCAGGCAGAAAATTTTATCAGGACGTTGAAAACTGCTATTGATTCTATTGTCGCCTCAACATTTAATGAGCTGGAGAGGGGAGAAGATACCTTTCTACTGAAATATGGAAATGCCAGACATTCGGTGACGAAAGAGACTCCATCAAAGCTATTAAAAGGAAGAATTCTTCGGTCGAATATGAGATGTTTGGAGTCTGCAGAACTTACATATTATCTTGGCAATGATCTTCGACCATCCACGGGGATTGTTCTGAAGAATGTCGGGAAATCTATGGTGCGACTTCTAGATATCAATGACTTAAGTACACACAATCGACATGTTGATCAAATACAATTCCAGGAAACAGGTGAGTCTGTTCCAATTTCGGTTGTTAATTCTAATACTAATGAGAGCATTCTAGATAATACAGAGCCTTTATCCAATACACTGTCGGACAGACACAGGATGAATTTGAGAAGAAGACGTACAATTGATTACAGACACTTGGATTACAATTTAAGCTGTGGCGGATGTGGTGTTTGAATGAACTAGTGACTTCTTGTTGTTGTTGAATGCTTGATTTCGAATTCTAAATACAATACATTCGTTTGTACTCATTCCATAGTTCTTGATTCACATACTTCTAATCATCATAATCATGAAATGGAAATTAAGAGCCAAATGATACTAAAGTCCATCCTAGATGAATTTATGATAGTAGTTTATAGTTTAGTCTATACGATGAGTTAATTAAATCAGTTATGCTATATGATATGTACGGTTAAAGTTCAAATGTGAAAGTTCATCTGCATCCAAAACAGTACACTATTCATCTTAGATGGTTGAATGTGTTAATAGATGTTTCGAAATAAAAAAAAATGAGTAAAAATCCTATTTCACTTTTGTTTGCACTTTTCTTTTGGTAGACCATTGTTTTTTGCTATTTCTTACCTGAAATACACGGGGTAATTTTTTTGTAACATATGGTTTAAAATATAATAAAAACAAACATTAAATACTTGCTCTTCAAAAATCTGTAGGCTAATTCACTTTATACAATAGTCCAACTAACTTGATATTTTCTTTCGTACTATATTTCGAGCAGTTTACTAAGTGGTGGTCATCATGCACAGATTTTTATAAGAACTCTTAGTAATTGCAATTTATTTAGTTTTCTAAAATGTTATTATGAGATTAAATCAAGTTACTTATAAACTTATTTATATTGAATGAAATTATATTATTTTTTATTCAATCATACTTGATTTGATTAGTTAAGAAAACCTGTAGGACTGTTCAGTTTTTTTTTTTGATATACAGCTTATGATTAACATTGAGTTCACTCATTTATGATATGCTAAACTGTCTAATTATTAATTAAGCAGCTATGTGTTTTGTAGTCGAAATGGAATTGGATTAAAATGGCCTTCAACTGATAAGCTACCATGACATAGTTGCAGCATTTGTAATCTTTAGCTAAACAACTTATAAACATAATACCTCGTATGTCCGCGGTTCTTTTCAGTTTTCAACCACCGGGTTATTCGTAGCTATTAGAGAACGTTTGGTCAAACACCAGAATCATATTTCAGTAAGTTTCAGTGCTGTTTCTATTCTTATGCCAATAATTTCATCATTTAGCCTCGAATTACCTTCATTATTAGCTAATAAGAGGTTATTTCATAACAAATCCAAAAGTTTAGGACTTAGAATAACAGTAATTAAGGATCGTTTACATCGATATGAATTTTTTATTATTTTCCAGTCTTTATTTAACCTTATCGACAAGAAAAGTCAGTTCCACGTACGATAACTATTGATTAGTAATGCTATCGTTAGGAAACGAGTCTTAGGTAAGGATGGCAGATCAGTAGATGAAGTAATGAAACTTCATCAGTTGAAGTGGTTAGGACATGTGTTGCGTATGCCCAACCACCAACTACCTCGTCCAGCTTTGTTTTTTGATGTAGAAGTAGGTTAAAAGAAAGCTAGGGACGGCCAGACCAAAACATGGCACAAACCCATGAAATCACTGACAAGTGGACTGAGCCATGTCGGTAGGTGTGGTCTACCTGGTTTGGATAATCGATGGTTAGAGACCCTGAGTGATATGGCTGAAAACCGTTCGCAATGGCGCAGGTGCATTTATTCTTTGTGTTCTCTCAGGTCCCAACCTTCTGAATTCCTCATCACCTTTATCTTTCTCTTTTAAGTTTATTTCACTATATTCTACTTTTTGAGTAATATCTTCGAATCCTAATCTCTCC